TACAGAGTATGTAGTTCAGGGGTATTATTGTGTACTTCCTCTTATACCCATGCAAATTTCATCTACCGATTTTTTAAATTCACATGAATTTTTAATTAATTATGCAATTGAGAATTCAAATCTTCACAAATATTTGAAATTATATTCCAGATGTTTCCGCAGATTTGATAGCGATGAAATATTCAAAAATGTTTTTCATATCTTAAACCTTGTAGAAGTTACAACAGAATATTTATCAGAAAATCAGGATCTTTCTGAGAAACAGATCTTTATTTGCAACGATATCCTAACGAGGGTTAATTTAATTTAATTTTTATTTTTTATTTCAAGTTTGAGTAAACTTTCAAGATAATCTATATAAGCCTTTTGATGTTCTTCATCTAGATTCTTGTTTAATATGTGATGAATTTGATTTTTTTTTGAAAATTCAAGATAAAATTCTTTTTTATCTTGATCAACAACATGAACAATTCGAGTACAGCGTAACATTTCATCAATATTTTCTGTTTTCTTCGTTTCTAGATATTTTTCAAATATTTCTTGCGGAATCTCATTTTGATATACCCATTTATTTTTTTCCGGATGCTGATCTTTGTACTTAACGAAATATTGCTTGACTATTCGCTCAGAAACAACATATTCGATCTCTTTTCTCTTTCTCATTGAATATTTGTGACACTTTTGAATTCAATCAAATCAAAAATATTTGAAATTGCTAGAATTTTTTTCTTTCTCATGAATATTTGAAATGACTCAAAAGGAAAACTCGTTCGATTCAATTCAATTTTGAATCAGAATTTTTTAAGGACCAATAAATCAAATTATGTTAAGAAAATCTTTTTTTAACTCAGAGTATCAAAAGTACGTTAAACCTTCAATTTTATCTCATGTCGGAAAGCGAACCGACAATAGTGGAAGAGAATCAAACTATATCAGTATCCATCCAAGCTATTGTTGATGAAGAAAAAGGAGATGGAGCTGATATGCTGGATTTAATTCAAAATGAATTGAATTCCCGTAAAAAATTGAAATATAGAATGGAAATACCTGAAAATCCCCAATTCCAATTCTCAAGGAAAGATATAGCAAATTAAAATTTACAGATCCTACAGAAGCTGCTATATTTATTGCAAAAGATTCATATAATTCTTTTTATCCATTAAATTTTGAGCAAGGAAAAAAGTTTCGTTGTCCTAACTGCCAATTTTGCATGGAGCTTGTAAAGACTCATGAAAATGGTCAACTTTTCTTCATTCCAGTAATTAAACACGAGCATAGAGCAAAGCAATGCAAGCCGAGTAACAATATACCAAAAATTCTTAAGTTGCAAGCAGGAAAAAAAGTCTATGAATTAGCAAATTCTGATAATGTTCCTCAATGCAAAGAAATTTTTGCAAAAGAATTGAATATTCCCAATGCAACTTATACGATGTTCCATAATATAGTAAATAAACTTAAAGGAACCACAAAAGGGGATAGAATTCAATCTTACAATTATTTCTCAACAATTTTTCAATCATAAACAAAATCGAACAAGGATTCTGCGAAATGATTTTAGTTAAAGAAGTTAACAATGAAATTGAATTGCATACATTTAAGAAAGGTGATGAATTACCTGAAAATTCAAAAGACTTTCAAATTTATTCATTTATTGTAATTCCTCCAATAACTCATTTTTACATGCAAACACAAGCTTTTTGCGGAATAATTCAAATTGATGGAACGTTTTTATTTTGTATTAAAAATGGAAACTTACTCATTATTGGTACACCTGCACCAAATAATAGACTTATCCCTATTGCATTTGCATGGTCTGTTAGTGAAAATACGATAACAATTAAGGATATGCTCACTAAATTGAAATCTTTTATTCCACCAAGCAGATTCAAGAATATTTATTCCGATCAAGGTCCGGCAATTATAGCTGCTGTTAGAGAATCAGGCTTTTCTTGCAATCATAAATTTTGCTTACGTCATTTTGCAACAAAAAGGGAATACATCAATGTCTATTCCGAAATTGTTGAAGTCGCTTACGCAGACCATCCTCAAAAACGAATTGACTTGATTAAAAAGTTAGAAACTCGTTTACAAGAGGAATATCCAAACCGCGAAAATAATCAGGATCTCTTTAAGTACTTAGATAGTATTAACCCATTTGAAGGATTCGCTGACTACACCGCTGGCATACTCACAACATCTCTTATTGAATCCCTTAATGCCGAAATTAAAGATAAATGGGATACATATGAACCCGCCGAACTAATTATCCGTCTCATTGAACATGAATTCAATCTTGTTAAAAATGTTTTAACAGGTGATTTTAAATCAGATAATATTATCTATCTTCAATTAACATTACTTCCGAATCAAGTATTTCCTTAAACCAAAAATCTTTTTACGGTTGTTCTGCAATTTCAGTTCTCAACATATTTTCTGGTGGTAGTCTAACTATTGAAAATAACGCATTTTCACCGTCTTCAACCACTCCTATATCTTCACAAGAAAGAATTTTCGATTTGACTTCAATAGGAAACATGATCATTACCAATTCATTTTATCAATCACGATTAACAGATTTGATCATAAAATCAAGTGGTTCTCTAACGATTATGACAGATAGTTTTAAATCATGTGTTTATCTAAGAAATGTTAAGTTGTATTGCAACAATGATTTTACATTGAATTCAAATGTTTTTAATTCTTGTTCAGCACTATCTAATGTTGAAATATCTTGTGATGGACTTACATATTTAAATCCAAACTGCTTGAGTTCATTAAGTTCTCTTTCTAGTGTTAGTTTATCAAGCGGTGGAAACATGATTATTGATCGTCTTTCCTTTTCTAATTGCGATCAATTAGACTCTGTTAATTTTATATCAAAAGGAAGTCTCGAAATTAGAACAGATTGGAATCGAAATTATCAGATAACAAATTCATCCTTTTATGGATGCACTAATATTAGATCAATAACACTGTACTCTCAAAATTCATTGACAATATATTATTATGTTTTTTATTCGATGTCAAATATTAATAATATTGATATCGGTTCAAACGGTTCCGTAAATATTAACGATTATGCTTTTTGTAATTCATTTCGACTTTCAAATTTGCGTATAAGCTCAAATGGATATTTAAATATTTATAGAAATGCATTTCAAAATGCAGATGGAATTGAAAACTTAAACTTGACAAGTAATTCATACATATTTATTAGAGAATCTGCTTTTTATTCACTCGATAACTTAACAACTTTATGTTTACAATCAAATGGCTATATTACACTTAATAGTTATTCTTTCCAAAATTGCTTAAAACTTGAAGAAGTTGATATCAAATGCAATGAAAATTTAAATATCAATGAGTTAACTTTCTATAATTGTCAAAATCTTAAAAGGATTGACTTTGAAGCAAATGGAACATTAAACATTTTGAATCGAGATTACAATAATTATAATAATCAATATTCTCCATTTTATAAGTGTAATAATTTAGAATCTATAAATCTGTATTCGAATGAATCTTTAACTGTACAATCCTCTGCATTCCGTCAAATTCTTTCTCTTACTTCTGTCAATATTGCATCTCTTTCAAATGTTGAATTATCAGACTCCTCGTTTTCCAACTGTCCAAACTTAACTTTTTTCTCAATTAACTCAAATGGAACAACAACAATAGGTAGTAGTGCATTTTCTTCTTGCTCAAATTTAGCAGATTTTACAATTAACTCAAATGGAGCAACAACAATAGGTAGTAGTGCATTTTCATCTTGCTCAAATTTGACTTATCTTAAAATTATTTCGTATGGAGCTTTAACAGTTAATTATAGAGCATTTTATAATGACAATAATATAATCTCATTAAATATTTCTTCTCCAAGTTCAATAACAATTGGATCTTCATCATTTTATAGTTGCACAAACTTGTCATATGTAAAGTTATCTTCAGACTCAATTGTAAATATATATTCCACATCTTTTTATCAGTGCTCAAATCTTGAAACAGTCAATATCAAATCTAAAGGATCATCAAACTTGTATTATAATGCGTTCCAATTATGTCAAAACTTGAAAAATGTTTATTTAGAATCAGAGGATTCATTTACATACTATAAATATGGTGACTACCAATATTCTGCTTTTAGTGAATGCCCAAGTTTGACAGATATAACAATATATTCAAAAGGATCAATAACTATTCAAAATTACTTTGCATATAAAAATCCATCAACTTTCAAACTCAATATTACATCAGAATCAGAAATTAATATTGGCATCAGTTCATTTTATGAGTGTCAGAATCTACAATCAATATCTATTAACACTCCAACAAATATTTACATTGGAAGTTCTGCTTTTTATTCATCTAATATAACTGAACTCAATCTGGTCACAGATGGAAATATATCAATTGGTTCTAATGCATTCCAAAATTCAAGTAATTTGCAGATAATAAATATTCAATCTGGAGGATTTCTCTTGATATCATCCTATGCATTCAAGAACTGTTCATCGATTTCTTCAGCAAATTTATCATCTATTGACAATTTAGACTTTTATAATTATTCATTTCAATATTCAGGAAATAACTTAGAATTTGATATTTCGTGTGGAAGGTCTGTAATAATTCAAGCTCAAGCTTTCCAAAATAGTAATTTAAAGTACCTTAACATATCTACAAATGAAAATTTGTTTATGTACCAATATTATACTAATAGCTACGTAGAAAATTCTGTGTTTAAAGATAGCAGCTTAGAGTCTTTAACTTTAAACTCGGGATCTGATATGAGAATTGAGTCATGTGTATTTTATCAACTTCCAAATCTCACATCAATTGATCTACATTCATCGTTGTCAATTGATTTAGGTTCTACTTCTTTTTATTCATGTAAACAACTTTCAAAAATATCTATTTCATGCGAAGGTTATTTAACAATTAATAGCACTGCATTTTTCCTTGCAGAGAATCTAGAAACACTAAATTTGTATTCAAATTCAGTAATGACAATTAATTATAATTCATTTGGTAATATTTCTCATTTGTCTCAATTATTTATTCATTCAAATGACTCCATAACTCTTTACAGTAATGCATTTCAAAATTGTGCTATTTTAGAGGAAGTAATTATTCAATGCAATGGAAATCTTGTTATTGATTATAAATCATTCAATAATTGCGAAAACCTAAAAAGAATTGATTTCAGTTCAAACGGTTCAATGACAATTAAAAATTATGCTTACTCTAATCAAAATAATCAATATTCTCCATTTTATAATTGTAATAATTTAGAATCTATTATATTATATTCAAATAATACTATGATAATTCAAAATTATATTTTCTATCAAAATCCTTCTCTTTATTCTGTAAATATAACATCGCTTTCAAGTATAAATCTATATTCATATTCATTTTACACATGCACAAATTTAACCAATCTAATTGTCAGCAGTCAGTCATCAACATATATTGGACAAAACGCTTTTATAAATTGCTATAATATATCCAATCTTACAATTAATTCATTTGGATCATTGACAATTGATAATTCTGCTTTTTCTGCACTTAATAGCCTGACTTCATTAAGTTTACAATCTGATAATCCGATTCAACTTAATAGTTATTCTTTTTCATCTTGTTCAAATCTAATAGAAACAATTATTCGATGCAATGGCAATCTTAATATTAACTATAGAGCATTTTATAATTGTCAAAGTCTGAAAAGAATTGACTTTGAATCAAATGGAATGATATCAATTAAATATTCAGAATCAAATAATTATAATTCTCCATTTTATCTCTGTAATAAATTGGAAACATTGCATTTATATTCAAAAGATGAATTATCGATACAATATCCATTCTATGGCAATCCATCATTGTATTCTGTTGAAATCAAATCAGATTCCATAATAACTTTGTATAGTTCTATATTCTACAATTGTTTTAATTTAACATATGTAACTATTTCTGAAGGTTATAGAACGATTTCATATTCATCGTTCTATTCATGTTACAACCTTCAGTCATTTACTGTTCCTTCTACTGTCACAGCAATTAGATCAAGTGCATTTTATAATTGCACTGGTCTAATTGAATTTAACTTTATTAAATCTAGTTCATCAGTATCACTTGACAGTGATGCATTCACTAGTTCAAAAGCAGTCAATATTTTCATTGGAAGAGTTATTTCGTCTACAGATTATTTGCCTTGGCGAGAATCAGCAAAGTCTATCAAATTTGATTATATTTCAAACATTCCATCTTCTGCATTCAAATCATGGGTAAATCTTGAGTTGATTGACATAGGTCCAGCTATTTTAACATTAGAAGCTGATACATTTTGTTCTGCTTCATTACTCAAAACTCTCATTTTCAGAGATACGCAGATGCCAATTTTGTTAGGAAATAACTCCTTCAACACAAGTTTGCAAATTGAGACACTTGTAATACATCGCCCAATTAATTTGGATCAGATACAAAATGGAAAGCAATTTAAGAACATTTCAATTGCAAATGTTGCTGATATCTTAGATAATCAATTCTTTTCTTCTCCAAATTTATCCTTTTTATCACTTGGAAGAGGAATAAGATCTATTGGAGATAGTTGCTTCTACTCAAGCAACATAACTGAAATAGATATGATCAGATGTGTTGATCTCAGATCAATAGGAAATGAAGCTTTCAAATCTTGTCAATTATTAGAGAAAGTTATTCTTCGTCCTTCCCTTGAATCACTTGGAGATTCTTGCTTCGAACAATGTCCATCATTATACTACATCCCTCTTCCAAAGCAGATCACTTTCATTGGAGAGAGGTGTTTCGCCTCCTGCTACAAACTGAGAGATGTCGTCATTCCTCCTCAACTGGCAAACATCAGAGAGTCAACGTTTATGTCTACTGCAATTGAGAGAATTAAACTCGAATATGGAACATTCGTTGATCCTGATGCATTCAGAAACTGCACATCTCTTAGAATAGTTGAAATATTTGATCACTGCACACTATATAAAGACTCTTTCAGATTGTGCAACAACATCGAAAATGTTGTTTTCTACGAATATGTCACTATCTATGAAGGATCTTTTGAACAAATGGGAAATGTTTCATATTATGGTCTTGTTGATTATTGGAGTATTGGAACGTATGATGAACTTCATTCGCTAAATATTCAGAAAATTAATGTTGTTCCTGGCTATGTTTCCACAAAATATGCTGATATTGATGTGAATTTTATAAACATCACATCAAGTGAATTCACTTATTCTCAACCGGCAAATCCATCAGAACCTAGTAACCCAACTACACCAGTTCCTGTTCCAAAACCAGAGCGCAAACCATGTTCAGAAATACCATACTATAGCCAATTAAGAAGGATTAATAATAGAAAGAGATAAAAAGCCTATGTGATTATAAGATTAAAAATAAATTATTTGTTAGCTTTTACATATTTTATTCAGAACTTATTTTTAAACGGATCGAAATAAAGGTATATTTATTTTTACTCTAATGAACTTTGATATCTAAAAGAAACTCTTACATATCAGTATTTTGTCCATAAAATCGCATTTTAACGAACTCATATGTCCTTTTTTGATGCAGCCAAATATAAAATTTGTGTTTTGTTTAACGGAAATCAACTTTATAATTAAATTTAGTCCCATTATTCGCAAAAATAATGCATAAAACATCTGAAATCAAATGAAAGAAAAATTTGAATTTTATTTGATGTTGGAAAGTAATGTAAAATAGATTGTATTACGACATAATTGTATTTAATTTACTGGAGAATTGCAAGAACTTCCTCTGTAACCTGCTTAGCTTGCTTTCCTGTTCCTAAGACTGTCTTGAGGAGTCCAAGCTGAGTGTAGTAGTCAAGGACTGGCTGGAATGTGTTGCCGTACTGATTCATACGCTGGTTGAAGACCTCGATTGTGTCGTCCTTTCTAACGATGAGATCTTCGCCTGTTTGGTCATCTTTCATTGGAACCTTTGGTGGATTGAACTTTGTGTGGTATGTTCTGCCGGATCCTGGGTGGAAGAGGCGTCCACAGATTCTTTCCTGAAGCTCTTCACGAGAAACTTGAAGATAAATAACGTGTGTGACTGGACGGCCAATCTTTTCAAGGAGCTCGGCAAGGAGCTTAGCCTGGTTGATTGTACGTGGAATGCCATCAAGGATGAATCCCTGCTCTGGTGGGATCTTACCAAGGACAGCCTCGAAAACTTCCATGACTGTTGCATCATCGACAAGAAGGCCACTCTCAATGATGCTCTTGACCTTGAGGCCAACTGGAGAGCCAGCAGCAATCTCGGATCTGAAGCAGTCGCCTGTTGAGATGTGGGCAAGGCCAAACTTCTTTTCAAGAATTTCGGATTGTGTGCCTTTGCCGGAGCCTGGAGGGCCGAAGAAGATAATGCGCTTTGTAGCCATTGGGTAAAAAGTGAAGTAAACCAAAAAGTCACTTTTATGATTTGACAATTGAATTTAAATGGTTTACAAAAGTGGGTTAGAGATTTTGCATCGATGTCAGAGATTATAATTTAGCATATGGAACAATTTCGCATTTATTTAAAAAATGAACGTTAGAAAAATTCAATACTTCCCAAATTTTTATGTTGTTTTAAAAATGCATATTTATATATTTGAAAAAATTAAACTACACCTGTAAAATTGACAATGACTCAATTAGTTTTCAAAAAGCTTTTAGCAAAATCATTCAAATTAGTGAACTGCGAATCGTTATTATAATACCCATGATGTATTAAGTTTTTACAATTAATATCAGCGAGCGATTTCTGTTTTTTAATCGTAATTTAGAACGAATAACTTTCAAACATTCAAGAATAAACTCAGCTCTATCTCTTTTTATGAAACTTTCAATACTTGATGTGTGGTCGGTCGATTATGCGGTGATTCGAACTTTCTGGGATTGCGACTTACTTGAAATCTCAAAATTTTGAAAATCTATTTAATACATTCAATTACAGCATGTCAGTGTTCAAAGAGATGCATAAGCTTTAAACAGCATATCATATTATGTAATAGAATAATCAGATTTATTGCTTGTATTCGGTAATACTATTAATGTTTAGATTATCCAAGAACACTATTTTTCTAAATGAATCAATAGAATAAGAATATTTCGATTTTGTTCGGTCGAATTAAAAACATTTGAGCTAATACAAGGTTGAACTCCTATCGAGATATTAAAATTGCATATCGGTGATTACTCATCAATAGAACCTGGAATGCGCTCATCAGGCATTTAATCGCAATGATATTTATTGGTAAAATGAATCAAATTTGATAAAAAGAATCGTTAATCCCTTTTCCCAACTATATGTAGGTCTTATTAACACTCTTAGGAGTATAGGTTTTATTTTTCTAAATGAGCTCAATTTGTAAATAATTTTTTTTACAACAATTTTTTTTGAAATTGTAATACAATGGAATCGCTTTTATCTGCTTACTCAGCAGATGATGTTCAAACATTATCATCTTTGATAAGCCAGAATAAAAGTCTCCTTGAACAGAAAGTGGAAAATTTTACTATTTTCCAAAAGGCAATCCTAGATGGGAAGCTTGAAATTGTAAAAATGCTTGTAAACATGGATTCTGATCTTTTAAAGATTAATGATGAAGTTATTTATCAAATTTATAAAATTCGTTATAATTTTATGACAACCCTCCTTTCTTTTTGGCTTTGATTTCGCAGAAAAACTCCGAAACTGTAAACTTCATTCTTAAAGAAATGGATTTGAACTATCAAGACTTTAAAGATTCAAAAAATAAAGACAACCAAAATGCTCTAGAGTTCTGTACTTTTAACAATTCCTTGTCAGGATGCAAACTTTTATGCGAAAATAACTTTGTTTATGAAATTCAAAGCGCAATTAAAATTTCCAAAGAAAAAGACTTCAATGAAATCTTCGATTACCTACAGAATATTACTAACATTGATCAAGATAGTATAAATAAAAGCGATCTTGATTTAGAAAATACAAATACTCAGAATCAAATTACAGATCAAGAGGAAGTAATGGAAGAAATTAAAGATACTGAAATAACTCATATTGGTGATGTAAATCTGCCTGAAATTGATCAGAACAACGAGTTGAATCCCATCGAGATAGCGACGCAGCAAAATGATATAAATATTAAGCACGATAATCAAGAAAATACTTCAGGAAACCAAGCAGCTCAAAATAATGATCAAATTCAAGAAATTGAAAAAATTGACATCAAACTTACTGAAAATAATCAAAAAGAACCTGTTTATACCGAACTGTCTCTTCATGAAAATGATAGTACTGATCATAATGAGGCTGTTGAAAGTAAAGAAAATTTTGATGTAGATAATTTAAATAAAAAAGCAGAAGAAAAGCCTAAAGATGACATTTCCACTCAAAAGACTCAACAATTAGATATAAATAATGATACTCAACAGCAAAATCCAAATTCAGAAAACATTAGCAAAGAAACGACCTCTGAGCATCAAATTTTAGATAAACCTGGATCAAATACCAATCTCCCAACTGCAGATGCCCCATCGGAAGAAATAATGAAATCAGATTTTGCCTGGAATTCATCATCTGTTGAACCAGTTGAAGTGTTACCTCAAAAGACTGATGAAGAAATCTTCCAAGAAGCAATACTCCATTTCAGAGGTAATGAGCCTCTAAATTCTCTTCTCATCAAGCACCCTGACTTCGCCTCAAAGCCTCTCCTCAATGGAGATCTTCCCCTTGTCAGCGCTGTCACGTCCAGAAACATGAAAGCTCTAGAAATCCTGATTGAAAACAAATCAGACGTCTTTTCCGTTTTCGACAGTTTACAAAATGACGAAGACAGTCTTAAATGGTTCAAAGACCGCATGATAGTGAAAAAGTACATGAACGAGAGGATGGAGGAAAGTATCGTGAAAAATGACAGAGATTTATTTGACAAAATCGTCAAAATCAACCCTCAAATTATTTGTGAAGGAAGAGGTGGTTATGACACTTTTTATCATTTTATCTGCTCACGAAACAACGTTGACCTTCTGAAATCTGTGGAAGAATACGCGATAAAGAACAGGAGCAAAATCCTAGAAGATATTCAAAACCCAGTAATGATTGCTTTGCAAAATGGCTATTGGCAGGAATCTATATATCTATACTCTATTGGATTCCCTCTGTTTTCTGCAGAAGAAGAAAAGTACAAGCCACTTGAAGATGCTTTCGTTGCGAAGGATGAAGCAAAAATAGAGAAAGAATTTGATAACTACAATAAATTTTTAAATGGACAGTTGACAAATGATGGTTTGCCAAAGAACAAAACAGAGATAATCAGCGAAGTCAAAGATGTTATTAAAGACGTCTTGGACACGCAAAATGATATGGAATTGGATTCAAACAAAATTGTTTTAATATCCGACGAATTCAAGAATGAAGAAAGCGAGGTCAAAACAAATTCTGAAATAAAAGAAGAGGAGCCAAAGAAGGAAGAAATCGTTGATTTGGAAGAGAAAACTACTGAACAAGTAGTTGAGAATGATAATGAGAGTGTTAAGTCTGTTGTTGAAGACAAAATAGAAGAGATAAAAGAAGGAATATTTGGAAAAGAAGACGAAAATGATTCAAAAATTGACGAAGAAATTGAGAGAGAAAAGAAACAGAAAGCAGAAGAGGAAGAAAAAAGAAAGAGAGAAAAAGAAATCAAAGAAAGGAAAGCTTTGATTGCAGACTTAACTAAAATTGTAGACAATGATGATCCTTCACTTCTAAAGGATAAAACCGATAACCAAATTTTGACAGTATACGAATTCGGGACTTTGTTTGAATATTCTCAATCAAAAGAATCAAAGAAAGTAAGTCAATTTTTGTTAGAAAACTACTCTCTGCAAATATTGAAGCAAACTGTTCTGCGAAACAAGACAGATATCATTAAATCAGTCAGAACATATGTATTTAATCAAATAAAAAAAGATTGGAATTATGATTATGCTGAAAAAGCTTTCAAAAATGATGAAGTTCTTCCGCTTTTCCAGGATAATTATGGAAGGACACTATTGACTGTATCTTTGACAGATCTCGATAAATCTGCGAATGTTTTGAAACTCCTCTTGAAACAGAAAAATATCAATGTCAAATCTGCTTTAAAGAAAATACAAAATAACCAAATAAGGCAGAAGAGCATTTCAACTATTATTTTACTTTCGATAGAAGAAGACAATACTTCAATATTGTCAGAGCTCAATATTAACTCTAATTACCTTGTTAATGGAGTGAAAATTTTGGAGATCTGTGTTGAAAAGAAGGCAACAAATTTTGTAAAGTATTTCAACGAAGATCCTGATATTTTCAAATATTTCGTCAAAAGCTGTCAAACAGATGATGTTGAATTCATCTCAAATGCTTTCCAGAAACAAATGAATGAAATGAAGACTTCAGAACCATTTTTGGAAGCGCTAAAATACAAAGCATTCAAAACAGCCCTGTTACTTCTGCCTCTTACTCCAAATATCTTCGACTATGAAGGAGATATCAAGAGCTCACAGAACGAAGAATTAATCTGCGCATTCAAGACTTATAAGCCATCAATCGAAAGGATTATTAGAAGTGACAGAATTGATTATGCTGAACACTTGACTCTTGATGAAATCATAAAAGAAGATGTTGTCAAGAGATGTCTTGAACTGAATTCTCATACTGTTTTAGAATTTATCATCATGAAATATACAAAAGAAATTATCAAATGCGACAATTTGGCAAGGAAATACTCTGCAATAATGATTGCAAGAGATTTCGACCCTTCTTTCATAGAAAAAGTAACTGATGCATATCCTGCAATCAAGAGATTTAAAGTCGATGGCAAATCCTTGCTTTATCACGCAGCACGAAAGCAGAAATACAAAGCATGTAAATTGCTTTTCCCTCCTTCAGATGAAAATGACATTGTTTTGCTCTCAAAGGAGCAGTGCTCTAAGATGCATCCTTACTTCGTGAGGTGGCTGATTTTATATGGAAATAATGATCAGATTTTAAAGGCAAGTCAGGTCAATCCATCTCTTTTCATATCTACAAGAGTCACAGATAAAAATGTAACTTACTTCCCATTACAGTTTGCGGAAAAGAATTCGGTGAAAGCTAGTGAACTTATCAAAGAAATATGCTCTTCTTATGTTCAGCAAAAAAAATCAAGTGATGAGATGTCTAATTCTAAATCTTCTGCTTCTATTTCTACAAGAAGAAGTATTTCAAAAGTTAATTCACCACAGAAATCAAAATATTCTCCAAAACATGTTTAATAAAAAACGATTTTACACTATTTTACACCTTATCCTAAGTATTTTGTATCTCGGATTTGAACTGATACCATTTATGATAATTAAAAATTTGTCTGTCTTCTATCAAAATTGTCTAGGTTTGATCAAAAAAAATTGACAAAATAAAAAATTTTGTTTTGTAAAATGTCATTTTTATTTTTCTCACAAAAATGATAATTGATTCTTTAGAGGTATACCAGACAAATCTTGACAATTTCATAGGCAAAATTGTTAAAGATTTGGAATACATGCCTAGTGTATCTGAATATACAAATGTTGCCGCTGCATGTTTCAATTTATCAACTAAATATGCCGGTTTTTATAAAGAAGAGAACTCCAAAATAGATAATCCTTTCATAATGTTAAATAGATATATCGAAAAATTACTTTTTAAGCATGAAAATAAGTCCTATTCAACTTTAAATGATGAAATGAAGATTAAAATCATTGAAAACGCATCAAAAAGAATACACTTACTTCAGAATTTATGTTTATTTGGTGAAACAATGAACAAATCCATCTATAAAAACAAGAAATTTGATGATATTCAATCAATTTACTCAAGATTCCTAATGACATCAATTGTTCAAGCCAATTTAGGTATATTTTTAGATTTATCCATCAAACAGTTTACAAAAGCCTTCGAAACTACAGAAAATACGGATTTATCAATGATTATCTCTTTATTCCAGATCAATTACTTCGGTGCGCCAACCCAAGAGATCTGCTATAATAACAGCAGCTTCTTCATCGCCGAAATCGAGAAATCGATTGAAAAGCTAGTTCCAGACCTTCAAAAACTTCCAACTGTGATGAAACAAGTGAAGACATTCCTGGATCTGATACAAAACGACACAAAAACAAAGGAGAGATTCGTTAAAGTCTTTGGAGAGAAAATCATCCTTCCTCTGATGCCAAAAATCACTCAGTCAATCAAATCCGCTGACATATTCAATTCGATCTATCCGAGTGTTACTTTTGATGGCGAGTTACTCATCTCTGTTTCTCTGATCAAGTCAGACTTTTCTCAGCAGTTCATTGAGTCTGTTTTTGAGGAGAGGCTGGACAAGTTCATTTCTTCGCTGCAGAAAGAGACGAAAATCAAGAAACTGTGCGAAACTCTTCTGGATCTGATGAAATTTTTGGAAACATTCAACAAAATAATTTATTTAGAGAGTTTCAGAGAGTTCTCCATCCTCAAAACAAAGTCCAAGCTACAAGACGCGAAGTTCAAAGACGTCTTCGGCGGAATCTGGCCAATTGCCCTCTCTTTCATTTTTGATTCGCTGATGCAGAGGGGAAACCCGCTCCAGGGAATGCTGACGACGAATACAATCATCAAAATGCTGTCATTCGTCAACGACAAGGACATCTTCATGAAGCAGTACGAAAACCACCTTTTCAACAGACTCGCGACGAGAGCAACCATCGGAAAGGAGAAGGAGATCGAAGCAATCAACGCGCTCAAAGTGGCAACATCATATGAGAACCTCAAAAACACTGAGAACTTGCTGAACAACTACGAAGTATACATAGAACCTGGATTTCAGAAGTTCACTTACGTCATGTTCCCAAAGACTTCCATTCCAGAGCTCGGCCATGAGTTCTTTATCAAGCTTCCGAGCGAATACTCTGAGATAATCACGCAAATAACTCCGAATCTGAAGAAGAAATGGCCCCAGAGACACTTCGACTGGAGGTATTCGCTCGTTTCCTGTGAGTCCAGACTGAAAACAAAAGCTGGCGTTTCGAACTTGACTATTTCCCTCGCACAGGCTGCTGTTTTGCAGTGCTTGTGCGACAGCGATGGTGTTACCTTCGATACATTGTCGAGTGTGACGCAGATTGATGCGGAAAGACTGAATAAGATGATAAACAAATTGCTAAAACAGAAAATAATCAAGATTTCTGATAAAAATGATATTGAGAAGGCGAAGATATCTATTAATAATAACTTCCACCAAACAAAGGCAATAATTGCTGATAACTGGAAGATTGAACCGGCCAAGTTCGAGCAGATCTCTGAAACGAGAATGTTGGTGCTACAGTCAATAACAATGCGAATAATGAAGATGGTGAAAATAATAAAAATTTCAGTGCTCAAAGAAAAGGTCATGGAAGAGGTTTCTCTGACATTTAAAGCAAGGCCTGAGGATATAACAAGATGCTTTAATGATCTAACTATCAAAGGTTTCATTGAACTTTACGGTGAAGATAGATTTATCTTCAATAAGTAAAAAAAATTGTATACTTTCATTATTTATAAAAATTTTTTGATGATTGGCCATATTTCTTGGAATCTCTGACTGACAACTTCATGGCCCGAATCTGGTATGATAGAAAGTTGTGCGTTCTTCATCATTTTGTATGCTTCGACAACTGTTTGTAATGGAGTGTTTTGATCTTTGTCTCCGGCCATCAAAAGTGTTGGGGATTCTACCTTTCCAAAGATTTTTTCTCCAACTTCGAGATTTGCATAATAAGTAGTAATTGAATCATACCACTGATTAATTCTATCTGGTTCTGGTCTAATAAGCATTTGTTCATCCCAATATTTTGTGTCTAAACTTCTGAATATCTCAAATGCTGGAAATTGTTTAGATTTTGCCTTCCATGTTCCAGCACCAATAGCAATAAGCTTTTCGACTTTATCTGGAAACATTGCACTTAAGAAGAGACCAGTATAAGCTCCATCACTAAATCCTATAATTTTTACTTTTTCATTTGTTTCGTTTTCAATAACATTTTTAACATCAATAGCCTTAACTTCATATGTTTGTTCTACTGTTCCTATTTCTGATTTCCCATGGCCTCTTGTTGCAATTGCAATGATCTTATTGGAAGAAGAAAGATTATCTATAAGTCCACCCATTTCACCAATCGATCCAACGATTCCACCATGCAAAATAACAATTGGTTTGCCATTTCCATTGACTTCATAATAAATTTTTGATCCTTGACTTTCAATTATCTTAGCATTGGCTGAATTGTTTCCGTAGTGAACTTGACTCTTGTAGCTATTCTCTTTTTCATTAAAGTAGCGAAGTCTTATGTTTTCCATTTAAAAAATGAAGTGAAATTTGAATGTACCTAACAAATTCTCAAAAAAAATACAATTATTGTCCAATGCAATGTGATCTTAAATATTGTAAAAATTTTTGAGCAATATTTTTTGATAAAAATTTTAAAGGGAATGTCGCATGAGTTCGTATTCACATATTAATCACAGAAAGAATTCCATAAAGTCAGACAATTCATTAAAAAAAATGTAAAAAATTATTCGATTTTTTCCCATATTATTTTAGGCCGGAGAACTATACCCTCATGATTTCTATTTGCTTAGTTGCATCTGAATTACAATTTGATGAAAACAATATTAAATAAATTTTAAACAAATCAGATAAAGAAGCTTTTATTTATGTGATGACCCGAAAAGAGATTTAGATAATTTACCAAGATCTTTTGATATCTGGTTTCCCAAGCGATTTAAGTCATCTGCAACTGGTTGAAGCTTTTTATTTAGTTTTTCTGTTTCCTGAGTTATGACTTGGCTTGTAGTTTGTGCTTGTGGATAAATAGACTTGAACGGATTTCCCACTCTATCAAAAACAATTCGATCAACTGGTGGATAGTAGGAGTGGTGGAGAGGTCTAATAATAGCGCCACCTGGGCTATCAAGGAATAACATGTGATCAGGTAATGGACTTTCAACCCAAACAGCTTGAATCATTGTTGGGTTAATTACTTGTTGATATTGCATAGTTTGTTCTGGTGGAGGCGAGTATACTGGTGTTTGTTGCTGTGGATATGGCTGCTGAGGTGGATATGGTTGTTGTTGTGGATAAGGCTGTTGAGGTGGATATGGTTGTTGAGATGGATATGGCTGTTGAGGATATGGTTGTTGTGGAGGGTATGGAGTGTTTTGTGGATTCGGATTCAATTGTAGTGAAGTTGGATTTGAATGATGTTGATTTTGTTCAATAAGATCCTATTACTACATGATTACATGAGAAGCCGCAGCTTATCTTTAATATTCTGTAATGGAGTTAATGATCAATTTACTGAAATAAATTTGCTGCAAAATCAATTGAAAACAATCGCCATAGGTCCAATGGGGTAATATCTATGTGTCATACCAATCAAGTCAAAATGTATCCTAAATTCCGATCATTTGAACGGTTTCTTTCACTCATTTTCATTCTTTTTTTCTTACATTTATTCACTTAATGGCTAATCCGTATGCTGATGCACACGCTCCATCTGCACAATATAGCTCTGCACCTCAATACCCCCAAGTAAATCCAGAAATTTATGAACA